TTGTCATTATGTAATATATATAAGAATTTAGGTTATAGAACGATATATACAGAGTTTAACACTGGGTCATCAGGTCTCACTGTTCAAATAGAGTTACCTTTCCTTTTCTCACTATTCCATATCTTAATTTTAGTTGCTTAGTTTAAATCAAATACATTTGTGCAATTTTTAAACCTATTTGTCCACAAAAAATTAAAATAAATGGAAAAAATATTCCTTATATTAGTCTTCAAACTTCCAGATTAATTTTCAAACTTATTTTGTATTAATTTTGCCTTCAAAATGTCGGTTTTTAACTTCATTATTTCACTCACTAAACAACAGTAAAATAGCTCTGCTGTCTAATGGTTCATTACATATATTGCTAAAAGAACACATAAAAAAGAAAAGTCGGAAAAGTGGTGAACATCTAAACAACAGTGAGACCTGTGGCCTGATTGCACAGGTTGGTGAGACAACAGATATACAGAGGGTGAATATTCAAACTAAATATATGACACTACAGTAAAACCTCTCTAAAAAAGGTCATCAAATTTCATGTCAGGTATATTTCAATGAGGTATAAAAACTACCATGTTCAACCAACTAGCTGAAAGCTAAGTTTAACTGTAAGCATTGTGTATATAGTAGATAAAGCTGATCTTCCATCAGCTATTGAAAAGTGAATTCCACTTAAAAATTAACACTTAGTAACATAATGTGACTTTATTATGATATAGCCTTTAACAGAGAGGTTTTACTGTGATGAATTAAGGACAAAATAATAACAAAATGAAAATATACTGTGAATCGTTTATGAAGAATAAATGTAAAATAGCTCCTTCTCTAAGTACCATGAATAGGGGAAAATTGCTAACAGCACAAAAGTATGAAGGAAAGACTGACTGAAATTAAGTTGTCTTTCAATAAATTTTAACAGTATGCTTCCCTTAATTGGAAAGTAATAAGGCAATTTTCCACTTTCAAGGAATTCAGTTGGTACTTAGAGAGAAAGTGCTAATAACAATGACATTTACACAGAAATTAAAGCATCAAAAACAAAAAAATGGCTAAAATACTGAAATAAATATATTTAGAATCACTATTCATAATCTATAAATAAAATATTAACAACAATAAGTGGAAAACAAAGGTTTGCAATTTGTGAAACGGAGTCCTGAATCATGCTATGTAATGTCAACTTCACAAGCTGTTGTTTTACAGCAAGAAATGCATTTGCTCTTGGTCAGAGACTTAGCCTACCACAAATCACAAACCTTGGATAATGGATTATCAGTTCCTATGTACATGCTAAGTTTAAGCCATCTTCACAATGTCAAGGTATTACAAACTTCAAATTAGATGAATTTTATAATGCCTTGACATTACAAAGATGGGTTTGAGCAAGTTACTAACAAAAGGCACTTAAACCATAAATTGGTAATTTAGTCCTTACTCAATCTGTCTCTGATTTGATTTTAGGAAATCACAAACTGTTCTCTTCCTATTTTGATAGTATTACTAAGTTTGTGTACAGCTTTACATTTACATTTATTTTCTAGGCATAACAATAATATTTTTCATGTCTATTTTATACCTGCTATTCTTATACCTTATAAGCAAAATATGTTATATATGTATTTCTATTTAAGATGATTATAATAAAGGTTAATACTGTTTCCTGAACCTGAAGCAAAAAAAGTAGTGAAGAATGCATGTGCATGAATAATGTGACCCTATATAAATATATATATATATAAATATTATTATCAATTTATCTCAATTTTGTACAACCATAATGCCCTTATGTAATTGCAATATTATCATTGTAGAGCAGTTAACATAATTTTTATATTTATCATTTCTGAAATTTATCAAACTTTTTATAATTTAAATGTGAAACAAGTTCAACATTTACAGACTTCTTTTTATGAAAATTGAGACCTTCTTTTTTAACTTTTTTTTTAAAAATTAAGATGTGAAAAATGATTATTATTTACATTTAGTCGAATGCAGTAACCAGAGGTTTTCAACAATTTCCAATGTCATTATTTTGGGAATCAATTCATGTATAAAATTTGTGGGCCTTTAGTTGATTCCAATGTTTTATGGAACTGTAGAACTGTTATTGTGACTATTTATTTGGCAATAACTCAGTGGGAACAGATAATGGGAGGTTATTTAAAGTCTAATTCTGTTTGTCAAGCTTATTTCCAGCCTTCCAAGAAATATCATTTTAAATAAAGAAAATGTCTTTTAATAAACAATTGGGATAGGCTTTGGCTAAGATAACATTTCTCCAAAATATGAATTAGCCATGAGGGCTTTCCACAAGGATTGTAAAAAAAAAAAAAACAGTTGCAAAGTGGCATTATGTGTTTATGTATTAAGCTTCTAAGAATAAAATATTATGTGTATATACATAGACTTTTGTTAGCATCACAACTCAATTATCAAAAGAAAACTTTTATTAATCCTGAATATTATACAAATATGGTTTTAAAATCTTGGAAGGTTGGAAACCAGACTTTTAAAACATAGAATTAGACTTGAATACCTTTAATCTGGGAATATAACAATTAATCTATAATTTGTAACGCACCATAACTTTAAGAATTACTATTTACATTTTAAAAAAATAAAATATACTACTATACAAAATATACATATACAATGAAATGACAGCTTGCTGAGGAACAAGGAAATGGCGACTCGTAAGGCATCCAAAATATAAATTACCGTCAGATCTAACATAATACTGCTTCTCAAAAGTTGGTGAAATTTTTCAGCAAATGTTTGAGACTATTAAAGGCTCATTTCTATGAAAATGTCATACAACCTTGTCTTGAATCAAAGTCTATCAATCTTCACATGATTTTGAATCCTTGCAGGATTATGATAAAAACAGAAATTTTCATTCTAAGCAATTTTCAATTACCTTTGTCTCACATAAATGGTCAAATTTAGTTAAGCACATAGAAAAAGTTTCCAAATGACGTGCTCCATACTAGCTTTTTATACCCTTGAACAAAATAAACTGCTCTAGTTTATGCCTAAACTGCATGACCTACTACAATTCATTACAACAATGCTAATCATTTCATTGATATACACAACAATAAATAACTTAACAAAAGGTCAAAGGACATGCATGCCATACATATGAATTTTTACACCAATTTCCTAGAGTTTCAAACTTAAATAATATTTTGCTTCAGACACAACCAAATTGAAAACAGATTTTTTTAAGTTTAAAAGTAAAGATGTAATGTATGTTTTTAAAGGTAACATTTCCATATGAATTCTGTTTGAAAACCTAAGCTCACCGAATTCTGAAATGTTTCTTTTAAACAATTATGTCTGATGAAGTTTCTCCAAGGAATTCTGTCAATTTAAGAAAGTATTTAACCATTTTAATAAATGACAGCTTATAGTTTAAAGGGATATCAAATTGTAGCAAAATAACATTTTATTTTTCATAAAATTTATTTTCAAGTTAGCTTGAGGAATCAAGAATTGCACTTAATTAAAAGCAGACAAGGGCATTACAATATTTCTAGCATTATTTCAAAGAAATTGATTGAATTAGATACTAACAAAAAATTGGCCCCGTAGTCATTTAAAATTGGAATGTATGAACAGTATAAGAGGTATTTTGAGATAATCAAGTTGATTTTAGGTTATTTATGTACACATTATTAATAACCAGTATCAGTTGAAAATCTATATTTAATTTAGTTCTATGCATCTTCTTTCAACAATTTTAATTTCAGCTAATACTTATCACGTTTAAGAAATTTATTCTTTCAGCGACATAGCTTAAAATTATCTTATTTAAAATTCAAATGAAATTATATATATAACTTAGCATGATTGAACATTAACAATAAATTATTTTATAGAAAAAGTAATTATTAACTTTGAAATATTAAAACTACATAATTCTTTTATAATAATTTCCATTTATCATGGAATGGCAACAAATTTATTTAATTCCAGAAATCAGCAATCAATAGCACTAATTACTTTATTAATCAGCTGGTAATGAAAGCCCAATAATCAGTGCAATGACTCCAAGACCAATCACAATACAAATAATAATCAAAATTTTTTTCTGAAATGATGAAAAAAACATGCACACATAAATTCTACTATAAAGTGGATGAGACTATGTACATACATAAATCGTAGAAAAGATGATTGGTGAATGCATTATGTATGTTAGTTTTCTCAGTAAAATTTATGGTTAGCGATGTTGGATTGTCGTATCGTTGAACGATAACTGACTAATAAAAGCTGTTTATATCACTTTTAGAGAGCACATGAGCCAACATAACATTTATGTTTCTGTTTTCCTTTGTATGAATATGATCATTTCTTGCCTGTCCCGTCTGTTTCACATCACTCAATTCTCCTATTTTCACTGAGAAAACTATAATACAGTGCTCTTATATAAAAAAATTAAAAATAGTTTAAATTTAAATAAAATCAAAGAACTAAAATGAAATAAAATACAAAAGTGTGAACTACTAACATTTCAATATTCCCAATTTCTGAATTTGTGAAAATTAAGGTACTGTGTAATTCTCTGGGATTGTTTTATAACTTATTTTTTACTCTATTCTATTATAGTGCAATTACTTATTCCTTGTAAAAGGCATATTAAAGAGATTGTAAAGAGGTTTTCTCAATTTTGTATGTCTTTTGGGAATACTGATAGCATTAATTTGCAATTTACAATCCCTTTAAGTAAATGAGCCAGGGTATGGGCTGAAACACATGCTCAGTTATGTCTTCTATGTCCATAGAAGAAGGATAGATACATGAAAATATCATCAATCTGGTAAAAATCTTATCATCAACTTCCACAATGTGACATAATTAATTCAATGACATTTGAAATTTTTCCCACCTGACAAAAAACATTCCAAAGAGAAGGTTAAATTCAGAAACTGATACATTGAAATGATAGCCGTAAGGGATTTAACATATAATAACAGAAAAACTAAGTAAAGTAAAGGCTAAACGGATAAGCCAATAATTAAACCTAAGATTGCTAGTAACACAATAACACAAATAATAATCAGAATTTTTTTCTGAAAAATAAAAAATAAAACAAAATGAAAATAAAATTTGAACAAAACTCATTTAAAATCAACATGAATGAAAATTAAAAAGTAACCAAAAAAAAAAAATACCAGCCAATACCAAGACTCTTTATAGATAATTTCAAATACTTTCTTCCTTTCATACATTTTTGGCCAGAGTTGGAAAAATTCTTCCCAGAAATGTTCAGAAGAATGCGTGGACTCTCTTTAAAAGAAATTGAAAAATTAAAATGAAATTCAAGAAAAATTCTTACCCGTCTGGCTTTACTCTGATATTTTACAGCTTTTTTAGTGTCCATTTTGGCAGTTTCTATATAATCTACGGCAGCTTCTACATTGTATTCTATACGATCTATCATTTCTCCCTGAATAACAACACATCGTCAAGAATTAAAACCTAACTTAGTTAGTGCAATACAAATCAAGAATAAATCTTACTCTTTGAAGAGATTTCAAACATTTCTTTAAGATAATGTACAATATACCATTAAGAAGCTTTGGTAGACATAAGGTTTCTGCAATCCAATAAGAATTATGATAATCCTTCTGAAACACTAATGTATCTCTTGGACTATGTTCGTCAAGTTTGTTTTAATTCAGAAATGAAACGTCCTGCGCCTAATTGGGCTAATAAAGCTGGGCAAAACCATGTAATATGCAGTAAGGACAGCAGCATAATCCTGCTCTTCTTCCAACCGATTTCCAAGGCACAACCTCAAGCCTTCTTTTATTGTCTCATCTGCACAACTTAACACTCTTTCCATGTCAGCAAGGTATTGTTTAAACCTATATTTCTGGTTAATGAGCAAGTGTCTAACTCAATGAGCCCCTACAGATTTAGTTTCAGAGAGCCAAGACAGTCACTCATGTTATTTTGGATACCTACCTGACTTTCTACTAACATTGCCATATCCATAAACATATCATGTAATTCACGTATACTATTTTCTAATTTAATAATATCATTATGCCTAGCTTCTATATCTGCTAATGTTTGTTTTGCTTGTTGAGTTTCCATTATAATCTGAAAGAGGGTGAGAAAGTTTTAATAAACAATTACAAGCCTTCTTGGTTAACCTTTTCTATAATTATTATCTGAAACTTGAATTATTCAGTCTTGATATATCTGAGTATCCCAAAAAATGAAATAAAATAGAGTTTTATGCCCTACTTTTCTGCACCTAATTGGGCTCTGGAAGATTGGCATTGTCATGCAGTGTGCAATAAGGGAAATTAAGCCAGGGCACCCATCCGAACGACCTGACGCTTTTTCCATGTCAGCCAGTTCAGACGACAAAAAGATTATTCTTTATATTCAAGTAAACCATAAATGCAGTCAATCAAAATTGATCAAATAATGAATATAAGACCATAGTTTTATCGAACAAAATGTTTCAACAATGTACATTGTTATAATCAGGTGGTTTTATGACCCAATAAAAGTTGTACTTGCCCCTTGTGTAAAAATTGCAGGATTACCAGATTCTAACATATCCTCTAATTCTTCATTTGTTGTAGTTTTACCAGCTGCAAATGGCAAAAAAACAAACTTAGAATATTTCTGAGATGATTTTGCTACAATTGTCCCTTATTAGATAAACTTATACAAGATCTGTTTTCAGACAAGACAATCTTTTACATTTCCAATACCCAAAAAGTAAACATGTTTCAGGGGCCAACAATGAGATTAGTGATCTCCGAACTAGTCACAAAATTGCTTGAAGGGATTGTATAGAGGTTTTCTAAATTTTGTATGTGTATCAAGGACTCAATTTACACCATTCCAATTTTCAATCAGATTTCTATAGATCCTGCAATTCCATTACAACTAAGTGTTTGATAGCATAGCTAATAGCTAAGTATGCTTTATTAAGTAAGGACCATTGCGATTAGTGATATCATCAAACATTTAGTTTTAGTGGAATTAAAGGAACCACAGGCATCTGATTAAATATTGGAAACCTCTTACAATCCCTTTAAAATTTAGAAACTGGCCATGTCTCCTTGCTTTTTTTCTTTACATCTCTTCATGTACTAGACTGGTACTAATTAGTAGCCTTCTATTTTGTTTTTTATAGATGAAGATCATAAAAGATGAAGTGAAAATTGTGCAAATTTTTAATTAGAAAAAAATGTCTTATGAAATAAATTGAATGGTAAAACAAGAAAAAGAAGAAAAATCATCAATTCTAGACATTTAATATTCAAAAAATTCTACCTCTGCATATTCATTAATGATTTGATTTAAAAGTTGTACCGGTATTAGGAATTTTTAATCCTGAGCAAAATTGTAAATTTATACTAATTAAATAATTAAATAACAAATGATAAGCTTTTTAGCCCCAAAAAAAGACCTTAATTGTCTATTAAAGCTTTTCTGCCAAGTGTTCATAGCTAAGATTGTCTACATATAATTATAGGGCTGTGCTAACAGATCCTGGATATAACATAGTGGCTATATGTCTATCATTACTATAATTCATATACACTTGATACATTTATATATGAAACAGATTTTGGGCAATTTTTCTATAAGCAACGAAATTCAAATTTGAAGCAGAAAACAAAAAAGGGAGATAAATCTTACTTATTTCTAACTGTCTCTGGATTCGGCCCTTACACCTATCTCTATAATCAATCTGACAAGCGTTGTAATCATTCATGACTTCGACAAATTTACGTGATAGCGTTGCATGCTAAAAAGGAATCAAAAAATTGTCTAAAAGTATACTCCAAAGAAAATTTCAATGTCCGCAGATCTTTGAAATCTTAAGACTTGAAATAATCCTTGGCTAAAAACAAAACAGATTATGATAAATATTGTATCTAGACTGAAAGAAAGTTAATAAAAAAACAACAAATATATATTCTACATCTATCACAACATACAGAAATCTACAAAACATAAAAAGTACTACAAGAGTTCTCTCCCTTAGACCATTCACTGTTTCATGACGATTTCTTTACGAGCCCTTTTGATCTTATTTATTCTTTGTATTTCTTAATAACATGAAATTAAGCTCCATTTGAAAAATTAATTAACTCTTGAGCCCTTAACAGGCATGGCCAAGCCAGTTTTAATGTAAGTTTTCTTCTGTAAAACACATAATCTTTTTTTCTTCAAATATATGAAAATTGTGGCATATTCAATATTATAATTGCATGCAAGTTTCCTGATTCATGTAGACTCTTTTTCTTTAAGATGTATAGCAATAAAACCAAAAATAGAATATTAACCAATAATGGAAAAATGTTGAATCCTTTTGGGCTGATTCAGAGCCAATCGTGGTGTAAGGGAGGTAACTCATACAATAAATAACAAAGTGACAAGTGGTGCATCCTGAGACAACTAGTAGACTGTCAGGCTTACTTATTTCCATTTGGCGTTGAATTCGAGCTTTACATCGTTCTCGATAATCAAGCTGTGCTGCATTATACCCTGTCATAACTTCAACAAATTTACGAGAGATAGTCGAATACTACAAATAGACAAAAATACAACCATAGGGGGCATACTATGTCACTGCATATCATTAGCCATTCTAGTTTTGAAGCGTGAATAGAAGTAAAATGAAATTTTATGTCCTACTTTTAAGCACCTTATTTCACACATGGTTTAAGTTCAAATGAAGTTTTATTTCTTACTTTTTTTAGACTTTCAGATCATAAGAAATTTAAAAGAATTGAAGTTTTGATTCGTGAGAGCCTTGTTTCAAGTAGTTCAAGATCAAATGAAGTTTATGTCTTACTTTTCTACTCTTTCTTTCAGATGCAGTATATACAGTGGAAGTTTTGCATCCAAATTTTTTCCTACTTTTACTGATGTATTTATTAGTAGGGAATTTTATTATGCAATTTTTAAATTCTAGTTTAATCATTTCAAACATGATTTAACTTCAAATAGAGTTTTATGTCCTGCTTTACAACACCTTATTTTTAATGCAGGATTAGAAATGAAGTCCTACATTATGTGTCAGATGTGGAGAAATGAATCAAATTTTATGCCCTACTTTTGTAAATTATGATAATGCATTGTTGAGACACATTTCATTTTAACACCCATGAAGAAATAATATATATCCATGTAAGGGAAAAAGTAAAATTAAAATCATAGTAATTTATTTACTTATTTTGACTTAATATTGTAAATTCTCGAACAAAATATTTTCACTTAAATAATAATCATCATATCAATATTATCAATATTTTTTTTTGAAATTTCCAGTTATTATCGAATAATTCAAAAATTATTCAATTATTTTCTTTCTAATGTATTATTTAAGTTTTCCAAAGAATGTAACCTAAGTGGAAGTGAAAAAAAATCATCATTTTATTTGATACTGAAACATTTTCTAAAACTCTAAGAATCTGTTAATCTTAGTATATAAAATATAAAACTTGACATTGTTTAAGGTCATATGAGGAATCAATATTTCTTCTTATGTTCTTTTTTTTGCAATTCGAATGCTAAGTGATTTTTACATTTCTAGAACACTTTACTATTTACAATATTGATTATCTGAATTTCAATAAAAAAACAACAAAATTTTTTATATTTATATAGTTATTCGTGCATGATTTTCGCTTACATGCATACATTGTAAACTAAATGTTTTTCTTATCAATTTTCAAAATTGTGATTTTGATATGCCAGTGGCTAGAGACAATAGAGGTAAGAAAAGGGAAGAAAGTGTGCAGAGGAGAAAGAGGAAAAGTCCATGTCCAGTTTTTACAATATTCAACAATTCAGCACTGAAAATAATAATAATAATAATCACAATAATTTGAAATGGTGCACACAGTCAAAAAAGAGGACTGGAGTCACAATAATAATGGTATATATCCATTCAGGCATAAAACTTTCATATTTGTGTATGTATTTAATACTCTGAACATGTAAGAGTTGAAAGACATATTGTTTCGAACATGTGCTTCAAGACTGTAATGATATGACTGGTAGAGCAATGTAAAAGTTCAAAGAGTTGTAAGTTAAACCAGTATTCAAAATCATGCAATGCATCACTGAAGACAGTTTGAATATAGCAAGGATATGACCTTACGATTCAACATGCAATTGCAAAAGATTTTCAGTAAAGCAAAATAGCATAATGTATAATGTATTCAAATGCAAGCATCATAGTTGAGATCTTAAAAACAAATTGATAACAAGAGCTTTCATTTTATTTTTTTCTTCTGGAGAGTTTGTTTTGATTAATCCTATAAGCTGTGGAATAAACCATTTGAAATCAGTTTTAAAATACTTGATGATACTGTACAGTATTTGTTACATTTCAAATTTTGAAATGCCAAAAATTAGAATTTTGGTACAAATAAGAACGATTCTTGCGGAAACAAAGTATTTTCACGGAACTTAATGATCAGCAAGAGGATATACTGGGCTACCTTCTGAGCACCAGCCAGGCAAGTCATTTCAAAATCATATCAATTATTTTCAATATTGTTTTATATTCACCTCAATGATTAACAAATTTTTAACACTCAATGCTTCAGTAAAATATGTCGGAACTAATATTTATTCCCAAGGGAGTTTGGATCCAGCTTTGATTTGTGTCTTTATTCAATTATTTGAGTTATTTCATGCAGATTTAGTCAACTTCAATGGAAAGTGACTCATTTTCAAAGCATTGCTTCTCAATGCTCTAGCTAAATCGACCATTCCGAATGTTTACAATATTAAAAGTATTCTTATGAATCATTTGTTACAATACACATGAAACCCAAAATATACTTATACAATTTATTTGGTCTATTTTAAAATATCAATATAATTTTCCATATGACTAATGGTGCGTTCCGACGACAAAAGTTGAGGCAGCTTACTTATCAACTGTTCTTCTAGCCTAGTTTACTGTTTTTTGGTGCAGACAGTAAAACTAACCTGGCTTAACTTTCCAAGCCAGGTTTTAAGCCACCTCTGAAGTAGGTGCAAGTGAAGGCAGCTTAAGTTTGACGGGTTGTGTTCAGACAACTAAAAAAATAAATGCTTGAAGAACAGTTGATAGTTAAGCTGCCTTAACTTTAGTCGTCTGAACGCACCATTATATATATAATGTTTTCCAAAATTTGTGCTGATCCAATAGAATATTAATTTTGAGAGCTTTGAGAGTGTTATAGAAATTATTATAAATTTTCAAATAAATTCAATTTTCTTATTATGGCTTTCCATCAAAGGAAATTATGGATTACAGCCAAGGTTTAACCCGACTGTTTGTACTTTTTCAAAGATTAATTCAATTCGATCAGGACAGATATCAATTTTCCCCGGCAAATAATTCCATCAACTAGTCTAAAAGTCAATCCAGAAGATAAAATAAAAGCTCTTGTACATGTTAATAATCAATAACACAACTGCATTATCAAATTAATTCATTTTCCACTTCTTGCTGCAAGAAAGAAATAACTTAACACATCAAATATTACAGAATTTGTTGAATAATCTGACAGATTAATGGGATATAGTCGTCTAATCTTTTACTTCATCAACTCTAAATCTATATTCAAGCTAGCTGTAGCTTCTTTAGAATGAAAAATGTGCAAAAGCTACTGGAAGCTGGAATGAAACATTGGGCAGACAAATCAAATAGATAAAGGACTATATCCCTTCAAGTAAATAACACAATAGCAGTTGGTTATCCTCATTAAGAAGATCTGAAATTCCTAAATTTTGGCCAAAATTGTTAGTAGCATTAGAAAACCGATTCGGGTGTTTGAAAGCTTTTTATTAAGCTTTTGTGTATGTATCAGGTTCACTTATGTGACAGCTTCTGTTTTTGTATCTCCTTAAGGAAAATTTCAGTAACAGAAACTGCGTTATTTTATCAAATAAGTCTTTGGAATAATTCATAAATAAAAGACAATAAATTTCAATGTATATACACATTTTAAATGAATAATATATAAGACCTTTCTAGAACCACAAAATATAAGATGCATATTTAATAAAAAATAAACCTTCCATGAAATGTAATTCTTCCTTTGGATAGATATTCACAGGGAAAAAACATTACCAGGCTTTTAACTTTTAAAATATTTATATCTTTCTGGTTTAAAGTCAAAATATTTCAAAATATTTTTTTTCTTTATCTTCTGTATTTGTGCAGTGCTATATATTTATCGTAGGTATTTAAATTTGACTTTTGGCCAAAAGCAATGAACTGGTAAATCTGGAAGACCATGCAAAATAAGAAGCTTCCTATCTCTGAATTCGTATATCTGGGACACTGATAAGTAATGATTTGCACCACTCAAATTTTTGGTAAGATGTCTGTGGTTCTTGGAATTTCACAAAAAACAAAAAACCATTTTATGATGTCACTATAGCAAAAGGTGCTAATAATATCTAAGAGCCTTTTGTGATAGTGACATCATAAAACACATCATAAAAATGCTATCACATCACTGATAACACATAAAAATCTCTTTATGAACTTTAAAGTTTGAACTGAAAATAAATCTATTTGATCTTCTAACATATAGAAGGTGGTAATCGGTATAAGTAAGAAGTTGATGTAGGAGTAATTGTCAATAAAAACTGTGTTAGTAACTTGTAGCTGTTTCAGATTATAGTGTTAGAGAGTTAACGGTCTGTGAGCTGACAAGAATAACTGATCAATATTAAAACTAGCTTATATTGCTTGTCAAGATTACAGTTTATGTTCAAACATTTCTTTATATCAATGGATTGAATTAAAGTTCTATGCCTTACTTTCTATAGACCCTATAAAGATGTTGTGCAAAGAAAGAAATCAATGAGCAAAATCACTTAGTTTGTGCTAAATGCTGATGAATCTTTTACATTCACACCACTTCCTAATTTCTCGAAGTTTCATGCAAACTGCTGAAAATTCTTTGATCTTCATATTGCACATAGGATATCTCAGCCTTTCGCTCCATTCAATTAGTTCACTGACATTGACAGGATGAGCCACAACCAAATCTTGACTTGAAATGTTTTCAAGCAACTCATGAGAGAAAGCAAAGATTGTAACAGCCCATCTAAATCCAGTAAAGTTTAATAATAAGAATAACATGGTCAAGGAAAAAAGATGGTGTAGGAAATACATTTGATTAATGATGGCATGGCGTAGGAAATAAGTTTATTTGATCCATTATGACATGGTGTAGAAAACTTTGATCCATCATATAGCATCCAAATTTTCTTGATGCAATATAGCATGCTATAATGCGTATGTTTATCTACAATACAGCTTTCTATAATGTACTCTATATGTGTTTGTCTGGCATTAAATACAAATAAAGTCCAAGTACAGTACAAATAACAAGATTACAGCATCTTTAAATTAATTATAAAGCAATATCAAGTCTAGACTGAGACAAATCATCGTCTACAAATAACTGGTAAACTTGGAGATGATATCATCTTGACTTTACTTATTACATGAAATTTAAAGGTGATGTTTCTGGTTGTATCTCATGATATTCACCTATCCTATATAGT